AATTTAAAATTCTTGAAAATTCCATTTATTTGAACTCAAACACAAAGAGTGGTAGTTTTGAACTATCCTTTGACCTGATAATCATTCAGAATCATTCTTTAGGATCCATTACGTCATTCATCCATTCCAATATACGTCAGCTTCAAATATTAATGGCTTTAATTCCATGTTCCAGGAGTTGTCAAATGGGTCCATGCAATTTTACTTAATCATAGTTCCACCACATTTTGTTATTGAGGATTCAACTTAAATGTTGCCACATCTGCCTGTCAATTATTAGGCTAATTATTGAGTTAATTATTGATTTTAGGGTGCATTTTACATGTTACTAGTTATTGGTGAAAAATATGGCCTTCCAACGCCTTGTGACGAATCGATCCGACGCGATATTCTCCGATTTTAATTACACCATGCGTAATTTATTTGTTTTGGTCAATCATTCAAAGTTTCAAGATACAATTCAGCCGTTTGAAACTCGCAAAAAAATTAGTTAAAATGGCGTATTTGATATATTTTTTTTTATTTTTTTAAAAGTTTGTAGATTTTCAAGTGTCTAACTTGAAAAATTCACAGAAGATATAATTTTTCAGAAGGTTTTAAATCAAATAGGAAAAATGACGGCTTCGGCATGACAGACTATTTTCGGAAACCCAAATTGAAACGCTAATTTCACAAGATTTTCTTATGAGAACACTTCGCTGAATGCATTCAAACGATTCTTTAAGTTTTCAGATTCAATTTGATTGTATTTTTACCACTGAAAAAAAGCAATCTAGCCGAGTTTTCTTGAAAAGAAAACACACGCACTACAAAATGCTGCTGATTTCAAGCTGCCGATGAAAACACAGCTGTTTAACACGCAGCTCAAATAGAAAGGTTGCCGAATAAAAAGGTGTTGCCCATAATAGTCGCTCTCACTAGAGAAGTTTGAAGCTTTGTAAAAGCGTTTCAAAACAGTTTTTGACAATTATTTCGACTGAAATTGTTAGAGCAGCTGACAGCAAAATATTGTAAACAAACCAACACTGCATATGTGTGCGTTCCTGAGAGAAAAAGGCTATAGAAAAATGGTCGCTGCTTAGATTGCCGAGAATACGTAAATTCCTCTATATTAAAAAAATATTGAAGAGGCCCATTTTTTGTACAGTGTATTTTGATTTCTTTTTTTAAATAATATGCCTATAATTACTCATAAAATTTACCATTTACGCAGCCGTCATTTTGATTGGACGTTCTTGAGCTATGATTTGCTGAAAAATAGGGTAAATGACAGCTTCGGTACGCAATGACTGTTTTCGGTAACCTAAATTTAAACGTCAATTTCTCTGTATTTTATCACCACAACACTTCGCTGAATGTATTCAAACGATTTCTTAGTCTTTCAGCTTCTATTTTATGTGATTTTTACAACTTCGCCAGGTTTTTCACGCAATGAATCATACACACTTAGAAATACTTAAATTTACACGTGACGGAATCCGTCTTTGACATAAAGGATGAGACGTAAACAAATATGTCATGTAAAATTAAGTGCTCTGAGACTGAAAGGTTCGTTACTATGTCAAAATTGACGCTCGTATATGAGTTAACAACGGAGTCAACCCAGCGTCAACACTTAACAAGTCACCGGCACCGGCAGCACCAACGGGCACCTGCACCGAGACAGCAAAGTCAGCATTATCACCACGCGGCAACAGCCACATGGACGGATCGAGTATCGGCACCACGACGGACTACGTGACTGGAAGACCATCGTCGTTGCTAGGTGCTAGGTCAGCTCTTTTAGGGAACAGGCAAAGGTAGCTAGGTGTTCGACATGATTTAATAAAGACATTATTGTTTGAACCATCGACGTGTGTAGTTCGTAGTTTAGTTTTTATAAACCCGAAATTCCGTAGTACGGTTTTAAGTTATGTCAGTCTCAGTGCACATAAATTTACATGAATTTTTCTAAGTGTGTACATACTCTAAAATGTGGCTGATTTCGAGTTGCCGATAATAGAACAGCTCCTTAACACGCAGTTTAAATGGAAAGGTTGCCAAAGAAAAAGAGATTGCTATTGTCACAAACGTTTTTAATTAGTTTTGATCAGCGAATCCAAACACATAAAGCAACCAAATCGGTTGCTACGACTACCATGACAAACTCGCTCTGTAACATAGCTCGATCGGAGTGGTAGAAGGATAATGATATATTGCTTGCCTGCTTTGTTGCAATATACACGGATGAGGACATAGCTTTCTCTGAATCGAGAAAAGACATAACAAAAAAAATTCCATTAACACACGTGTATCATCTTCGGCTTTACTTTGGGAAGCAGCTAGCCAACAATTTGCTCGTTTCCTTCTACCGCCTCGAGTCATGAAAAAAAGGAAGAAGATTATATCATTATTGCTAAAGAGCCTGAATTTATAAAGAGACGACATCTTATCCATTTGACAGGTCTTCTGCTCGATTGGAATGACTTTTCCTATGACATTGACAGACAATCGATTGTTCCAATTTTGACATGTCGTCTCTTCATAAATTTAGGCTCTGCTTTCCCCTCCTAACATAGCGTTATCATTCGGTTCGTTGATCGCTTGTCATTTTGTCATTTGGAGATATTCTTGATTCCTTGGTTTTGATCCATTCTATAGATTGGAATGGTTAGAGCAGCATGCAACAAATAAATTTAAACAAACAAGTGACGAGAGTACGTTAATTCCCCTTTCAAATACGCCACTTTAAACTTGTTGGCGAAATTCAAAATGGCCGAATATCAACTCAAATGTGAATGTTTGACCAAAACTAACAATTACGCAAAGTTTCATACAAATCGAAGAAGGTCGAGTTTGAAAATCTTTTTTTTTTTTATTTGGCCTGGAACGGCTCTGCTCTGCTGCTGCGGCTGAGAAAGTTTGTTCTCCACTTCGCTCTCCGGTGTGGTTGTGGCAATCGTGACGTGACCAACAAAACCAACTCGTAGAAAGCACCGACTTCAATCGATGGGGGATCATAATCCGGATTAGGAAAGATCTAAGGAAAAGTGATATTGATTATCGTTTCGTGAGCAAACGGTCGTCTATCGGTGGAAAGATTGGCGCTTCATTGGATGTCCAACGAGCCTTATAAAACATACTTTTAGGAGCAATCAAATCAAATGGTTATTCACATTATCATCTTCAGTGAATTCATGAAAATGGAAAACCCCTCTAATCGGCAAAGACTGCAATTCACCAAAATGCCAACCCAACTCAGCTTTCGGGTCCACATTTTTACAAGCAATTATGTTTCACATCTGCATATTCCATTTCCTCTAACTCCATTCGACGGCAATTCCCGTTTCGCATGCACTCATTGCTTGCTTGCTTGCATGGTAGCTAGAATCCGGAAGCTGCTGTCGACTCTAATGAAAATTGATACCGATCTAGCGTCTAATGGTGCAACCACACGATACTGGCTGTCTTTTTTTCCGTCTTACTTCTTTCGAGTTGCTTTACTAGCTACCTAAGGTAGGTTTGTCATTTATGGACCATTAACGCTTAGTGGACCTCTATTGGATTTATTCAATTTTTCATCAAAATTTGAGAGATTTTCCGGCAATTTCCATCGGAAAACACCTTTTTCAACTAAATCTGCATAGGATTAATGAAAAACATTAGTCAAAATTTGCATTTAATCGAAGACATCATATCAAGAAGACTAGCAACTTTGCCAGAATCCAAGCGACAGATACAATAGCGCTGCGCTTGAGTGAAGGTGGAAGCAACGCATAGAAAAAAAATGAGCATATACACACTTAAATATTTTCGCCGAGATTCCAACAGCCGAGTAATTCTGCAATTGCCGAGACTCAGCTAACAAATAACATTTTGCTGAGCTGTCAGCTAACAAACAGATATTTTGCAGAGATATCAGCAAAAGAGAATGCCGAGGTAATCGGCTTTTGGAGATTTTACCGAGCTAGATTAAGTTTGTACACAAACCTGTCTTCTGAGGATGCAATCTTTGCTATCAAATTCGTTCGAAGCATTTACATTTGAGCGGCAGATGACGAGGTTGTACCTGTCTCATAGCGTTCGTATGAGAAAATGGAAGAGTTGCCAGTCTTCTTGATTTGTTGTCTTCGGTAAAGAATAAACTTGCACCTAATGGAAAAAAACATTGCTGAACAAACAATTTAAAAGTCATGAATTTAGTGTCAATGCGAGGCCAACATATCAAGAAGACTGGAAACTCTCCCGACCGCTATGAGACAGAAACAATCGTGCCATCTACCGCTCAAAAGTAAATGCTCCAAACGAATTCGTTAGTAAAGACTGCAACCTGCAAAGAGTGGTTTGTGTATTTGCTAAATTTTCTTTTCACTGCTTCCACCTTCGCTCGAGTGCAACGCTACTGTATCTGTCACGCTTGTATTCTGGCAAAGATGGCAGCCTTCTTGATATAGCTAATACGGGGTCCATAATAGACCAACTCACCCTTCCTACCGATACGATGTGTTCCATTTTCCACACCCAATCAACGTCCAGCGGCGGCTGCCATCTAGCTTCTTGCAGTTGCCTGATCCCATCCGAGACGGGCAGCTGGTCTGGCAGTCGTTCGATACAGTGGCTGTGGAAACTAATTGCGGTATAATTAAACCTTCAAACTGTCGCTTCCTCCTCCACTACCGAAATGGATAAACTACGATGTGCGAGAAGCGCATTATCCATCCAAGCCCCCACCGTGCGCCCTCTCTTTCCGCCATAAAACGTCACGCAAAGACGCGCGCTCGCTCCTTGATGGTCAGAAATCAGAAACTAATGACTCTTGAGCACGTTTAATCGTTTTCCATCAGACTGGTGACTATGGCTGCGTTCTGTCTTCGTGCTCAATATCACTTTGTTCATTCTGGAACTGATATGGGAATGGAAGTGACAGTGGCGTTATCAAGGTCACCTACTTACCATCTGTGCGGGATGCTTTGTTCTTCTTTTAACGGAGCTAATGAAACTTTTATTTCCTATCATTGCAGGACTCTATCTGTACATGTTGGTTGTGGAAACATTTTCCGGCGATAACTTACGGTTCAAATTGTATGCCGCCATCGGATGGGGTAAGTAACGAATGAAGCACTGTATTTTAGCAGTTCATGAAATAGATTTGGTCGACTATCTTCCATCATTAAATCGCAATGACAGCGTTTGAACGTAGCCTGAGTCAAAAGAAGGCTTAGAAAACTTGGAGGACCTAATTGGTGGAAAATGTCGTAAAGACATGACCTTTTCAAAACGGTGACGTAACATACAACCAGCGATGCCATGTATCTTGATTTTTGTACATGTTGGGACCCCCATGTTTACTTTTATTCCAAAAATTAACTAATTTTTGAGCTAACAAACTTGTCCCGGAACCTTACGGTATCAAAATAAGCAAAGGGGTCCAAACATTTGACATCGAGTTCTATGCCTCAGCAATAGAAGCTTTTAAATCGGCAAACCCTAGAGTGTGAGATTTCACGGGCCTCAGGCTTAACATATGCCATGCCCATTAGACTGATGCAAATTTTGACATTTTCGGTCCACAGTGCTCATACGGTTCCAAATTGGGTCCTGATTAGTCTCCCAAAATGTGAACTCATTTGCAAAGAAACTGACTTGGCACAAACCATTTGAAGTTTATATGGAAATTACTATGGGAAATCAAAACTTTTTGTTCATTGTCTCCTTACCTTTTTCCATATTGCACTGTTCAAAAATTCAAAAGCTATACTGATGGAAAATTTTCTCAGCTCCAACTTAGCAGAATGAGCCAAACGTCAAATAAAATAGTTATTAATTGTTTAAGAGATTGATAATCTTATGGCATGATCAAGCAGCTGTTTTGTGAGCAACACTGTATTTTGCAGTGTGACATAGTAGCCATGATATTTGTGGTCTATTCCAAGCACCAGAAACACCAATGTTGCCTGCTGAACAGTTGATTGAGCATAATCGTAAGACATTAGTGGCTTGAATTATTGATAACGTTTGATGCTTACATTATATTGATAGTTGTAGTTGTAGCTGAGAAAATTTTCTACGAGCTCAGTTATCATTTTTTAAAGCAGAGCGATATGGTAAATTGTTAGATGGATATGAACAAAACATTTGGTTTTCCTATAGTAATTTCCATATAAACTTCAAATGGTTTGTGCCAAGTCAGTTTCTTATCGAATGAGTTCAAATTTTGGGAGGCTGATCAGGACCCGATTTGGAACCGTTTGAGCACTGTGGAGCAAAAATGTCAAAATTTGCATCAGTCTAATGCCCATATCGAGAAGTTGAAGGTTCGATCAAGTCTTGACTACTAGGGATTAAAACTTCATTTTTGCAAATAGAAAGGTCATGTTCTCCTTCAGCAATTATTGGGTCGGCTTACAAAGATGACCTTTTTTTTTCCTTTGGTTTGTTTTTTCCGTCGATCTTGTTTTCCGTGCTGGGCACCAATGCTACCGACGTGCCAGGAAGGCAGCTCTCACACCTGGATCCTACCTATCGACCCATCAACTCATGAACCGGGGACCAACGGTTTGACTTCCCTTCCGAAGGACGGCGTGATCAGATATGTTATGCCTCAGAACATCCCGGCGGCGCCGACTGGGATTGAACCTAGGCCTGTTGGGGTGAGAGGTAATCACGCTTACCACTACACCACCGGCGCCGTTGTAAAGAAAAAAAAAGATGACCTTAACACCAGGTTTTATCATGAGGATGTTGAATCAGTGAAAGAAATTACACTATGATTATCATAAAATTTACATGGCTGAACTATAGTCGGCCATAATATTTAAGTTTTAAAAGTGTCCGAATTTATTGACAGTCCAGATTTCGATGCATTACAGTGACGGGAAGAATACAACAGGCTCTAAAGATTACCCAATATTGATGTTTGAAGGACGGTCTAAAAATTACCCCGTCAAAAGACGTAATTGTTCCTTTTACTAAAAAGAGGAAATTCCACCTAAAAGCTCTTAACCTTGGCGGAACAGAAATTCAATTTAGTGATCAGGTAAAATACTTAGGAGTAATTCTAAATGCTAGGCAACCAGGCAACCTGTGCTTTATGGTTATGCTCCAAAACCGTTGGACGGAACTGGGGCTTGCAACCAAAAATTATTATGTGGATTAACACATCTAATAAAGGTTGAACACGAAAAAATCCGGACACATTAAAACCGCTGCTATTAAGGCCTTTTTTGAGTAAGAGTGTATAGAATCACAGTAGACATTGGTAGTCAGGATAAGTTCATTTGTTTACACCATGGCTTCACCGGTGCAAGCACGTCGCGATTCGATCCTCGAAATGAAAATCCCGGTGTATCCGCTCCTGTCAGTTTTCGATCAAATTCTTGGGTAGGAATTTTATACCTCGGTTGATCAGAAGAGTGCCCAGAAGAATGTAAAATCAAAAGGAAGTCGAAATTCCCGCAGAAGTTCATTGTTTGGCAAAGCAAGAGCCATATACCTTCCTTTTACGAAGAAGACTACCCGGAACCACTGTTTTCGTTGTTAGTAAAGAGGTTGAATTTATAAAGAGACGACGTGTCAAAATTGGAACAATTGATTATCTGTCAAAGTCATACACGGATAGAAATTCGCTTATACATTTTGGCAAATTTCCTTTGTTGATTATTCATAAAATGTATAAGTCAACTAATAAGCAGATGCCTTGCAAAAAGTTGATGAAGATCATGTATCAAATAAAATGTATAAATGGTCACACATACCGTTTATGCGTTCTTATAGGACGTATGTGGTTTGTCTTATGGAATGTATAAGGCTGATGTTTTGGCAAAAATGTATAAGTGAAACACATGAATAAGATAATGAATTTTCGTTTCGTGTAGGAAAAGTGATTTCAATCAAGCAGAAGACCTGTCTAATGGATAAGATGTCGCCCGTTTATCCAATTCCGTCTCTTTAGTTGTTAGATATCCACTAAGCACAACAAAACGACAACCGAAACGATCAGTAAAAACATGTTGCTCAATGAAGAAAAATAACAGTCTACGACAAGCTCCACCTGTATCAAACAATTTCTAGCGTCACCTTTTAAATACACCAATCTACATTGATCGATTCTCTTCATCGACTCTCTCTCGCAGGTCAGTTCGACAGAAGATAATGTTAGCTTGCGCCTGAATCATTATTTATTAAAAGCCCTAACTCATAGGAGTGTTTCCCCGATCAATTACTTCTGACGTAGGACTACGTTTGTGATTTCTATATGGGGGTACACTTTGTGAAAAAAATAATGAAAGATTTCAAATGTTAATAGTTCAACTGCCCCTAGACCAATTACAATAATTTTAGCCCCAATCGATCAGAAATTTCAAAATGTCACTAGAGAAAATTGCACGAATGTGCAAATGTTGCTATAATTATTAAAATGATCACCAATTGCCTGCTAAAAGCGATATCCCTAACGCAGATTTCAAAGTTGAATTCCGTTCAGTCTCACCAAACGGTGTTTATTTAATCACCGCGTGGTGAGTGGTGGTGTTCTTCAGTACACAACGAAAAGCTCCCCACAAGCAGCTAGCTATCAAGGCTAGCCTCAACCGCTGATCGGATTCGGTTCCAATCACCGTGTGTGGTGGTGTCCAGTCGTCGGCATCAGCAACAGTGCTTTCGGCGCGTGCGTTGAACATTGTTCTCCAGTACACAACGAAAGGCTATCTGCAAGCAGCGAGCTGCAGCCCACATGAGTATCCATAGAAGGAGGAAGAAGCCGCACCGCTATTGATCGGAATCAGTAGCTCTTCGTGAGTCGCTGTGGGCCATATATGTCAACCGCGTCACCCTCATTCCAAACAACATACAGCTTATCAGCCTCATCTATGTTCAACACCCTAATAGCTCAGCATACTCAACCATCACGACAAAACGGTAAAAGAGTATGTTTTGGACATTTGTCAAGATCATATCATGATAGAGCTGGAATTGGGGCGTAACAGCTTTTTTAAACAATGACTTCTTTCGATGATGTCTTGAAAATCAAGGCTCGCCCACGCAAATCAACACCACCATCAGGTAGGGTAAGACTTCTCCTATCCGACGGTAGTTTAATTTAATTTAGTTATTTATTTATTTAATATTTCTCATCTGACTTTGTGTTGTCTTAATGAAATTTGATAATTTGATGGGGGAAAGCCGAAATGGCGTAAAAACCCCACATCTTTTCACAATACACAATACAAAATACAATATATGAATGTAATTCCAGGATCAAGCGTAATTCCTAAATCGCGGCTACTGCTCACACGTTGCAAAGGTTCATTGTTGATTGTATAGTTGAACTTGATTGGCTTCTGCTTGTGATGAAAAGAGATGATGCTACATTTTTTAATACTCAGCGTGACGAAGTTCCTGGAACACCAATCCTCAAAGCCTTCGATCATATGCTGTAACTGTAAACAGTCAGTAAGGCTTCGAACTACAACATAAATCTTAACATCATCTGCATAGAAAGAGAGACAGCTAGCCGCAATAATCAATCCAACCTCGTTAATGAAGATTGAAAATAGCAGCGGTCCTAAGTTGCTGCCTTGAGGGACACCGGATGTATTGGTGAAAGAGTTTGATTGTGCTGCTCCGATTTTCACGCAGAGCTCTCGATTTGTCAAGTAAGAATTGAACCAACGAATGAAGCCCTGTGACACACCAAGCTTATCCAGTTTAGCTAGCAAGATAGCATGATCAACTCGATCAAAAGCAGCCTTCAAATCCGTATAGACGACATCTGTTTGTGCTCCTGCTTCCGTATTCCGAAGACAGGAGGATACTAATGGTGCTAGATTTGTAGAGACAGATCTCTTAGAGTAGAACCCATGCTGGTCCGGAGAAATATAACTACAGCAGCTTGCAAATAGGGCGTCATTAATGATTATTTCAACCACTTTAGAGCAGGCACAGAGTGAAGCGATTCCGCGATAGTTTTCAATTTTGCGCTTTTCTCCTTTCTTGAATACTGGGAACATAAAGGAGGATTTCCAACTCCTAGGGAATTCACCTTGCTGCAGTGAAAGGTTGAACAACTTCGTTAATGGCTTAGTAAGTGCGGAGGAACATTTCT